TCCAGTGGAAGTTTTGGGCCCACAATGAAGATACAATAATCTGCCCCTACATTTGCATTTACATGGAAGTCTAGTATTAGTTAACCCATCAACCTTTGTCCCATATAAGACAAGAGACCAGTAACGAATCATATAAACTATCAGATGCCTGCCTGCATGCAATCCTGATCGAGGAAAGATTATCCTGTATCAAATATGCCTTGGAACATCTCTTAAGAAATACTGTAGTAGTTAAAACCGCTTACAGTTTCCACAAGATTTGCAGCATTGACAAAAGAGTAACACATCAGATTTGCTTCATATACCTAGAGACTCTTGTCCTTTCCATGCTCTTTTCTAGATTTAGCAAAATTCAATGATGGTGCTAAATCAATTTTTTTTAACTTTCAAGGGAGAAAACACTGGCAAAATTGTGTTTTCTAGGGAAGGCTATGTGTGTAAATGAGAAACAGTGGATAGCAGCAGAGTGATCTCCTGTGGCCCTGCTAGTACAAGCTTTCCCCATATTGTCTCCTGCTTTTATATTAATTACAACTTGCATTATCAGCTGCGAGTCTGTAGCCCAGCAAATAGAAAATACTGCCCCTGGAGACCTAGCTTCTTGTATCTATTTTCCATCTCTTTCTATTGTGCTTCACTCAGTATTCACTGATTTTCTCCTGGTAACACTGCTCTTTAACACAATTAGGTAAGAGCAAGAGGAGCACCATATTTGACTCCCAATTATTAAAACTACTGGGAATAGATACATGTGCACTATTTGCCTTCCATGGTATACTGCAGTAGTTTAGGTCATGATTAAATACACTATGTGCTCAAATTTTGTAATGTATGTATGTGTAAGTGCATATACATATAGAAGATCAGCAAATACATTTTAATAGTTAGATACCATCCTCCAGGTTATGTGATCTTTTTATGCAAAGTATCTTTTTAAAGCTTACAAAAAGAGAAGACATTGTAATGAGTATATGTAAATAGTCCAGATCCGTCTATAGCTCTCTCTGTAGCAATGGGTCATATCCAAATCCCACTGAAGTCAATATTAAAATTGCCATTGATTTCAGTGTACTTTGGATCAAGCTCCATACCTACATAAAAGTTGTATCAGTTAGGTCCATCAAGAAAAATGATCTTAAAATCTGTATTTGGGTGCCTTTTCTGTTACAGTATTCACAAAACTACTGCATATAATTGGGCTCATGGCCAAGAAATTTTTCTTGAGGGATGCAAAATTGGAAACTGTCTATGAAAAAAGGAAGAAGTTGACTTATAGTGATCTTACTTCAAGGAAATATAGTACTGGAGATAGGGCATTGTGCCCCATCCTAATGGTTATTGATCACAGTTTTTATAATTCAAAGGAGTAGTTCCTTCCCTGGATTTTTAATTCTTTTAGTATTCTACAATTGCATCATGTAAATATCTCATTTTATTATTTTTATCTCTTAATAGAAGACTGCCAAATTGTTTCCTCAAGCAAACTATGTCACAAGAAATACACTGAATTCCCAGTCCATGCAGTCTGCCTTTCTAAAACTGGGTCTGAAAACTGAGGTCAAGCACAGCTCAGACTGGTAGAGACAGCAAGTGTTTTCAGCTTCAGGAAGTATTATTCAATGATCCTTTCCAAATCACTGAATTTTCAAAACAGAAAGACTGGTCTGGCTTTTGAAATACTGTATGCTAGGTTTTGGATGACATTTGCCTTAGAACATAGCTGAGGTGTTACTGGTTAATTATTGTAATTTTCATATGTGTGATAAGGAGCTTTAACAGCAGCCAGCTTAAGAGAGGCTGCAGTGCATAAAATTAACATAACTTGCTGTGTTTCCTGAAAAGTTTAGCCTAGGTGAACATGTTGCAATTATTATATTTTCTAAAAGAAGGTTCCAGCCTCATGTTGTTGGAGGGCTAAACTCATGCTATGCTATTGTTTCTTTCCTTTTTCATGTATTTTTTCTAGCTCTTTATCTGATTACCATCCGGCAAACAGCTGACGCTAAGAGGCTGCAGAGGGCTGAAGAGCTCCTGTCTGCTGTTTGCCTTCAGCTTGAAGCTATTTGAGTGGTTTCCTAACTCAGAGATAAAAAGAGAAGCTCATAGGCACAACACTGTTTTAATCCAGGCTGCAAAGAAACTTGCTCAGTCTTTGCATTTTATTTCCATCTGAACTTTTCCCCAACCTTATTTTCAGTCACAGTCTATTTTTTAATAACATCTGAGCAGCTTCGACCATTAGATTTTTCATCTTTCCTTTCATTTTTCTTTCCACCTGACTTCGTGACATGATGGTAACAGATTTTTTTTATTTCATTTTTGGGAGGGTGATATTTAATGTTAATTCTCTGTCTTTAGTTGCTGCGACAAATACATAATACCACACTCTAATTTGTGATTTTTGACAGTCTTTGTTGCAGTTATATATTAGGGAAACAGAATAGGTAGATAGAATTTGTGTCCTAAATGTTATTAGTTGTGCTGACAAGTTATGACTGTAACATCCTGGGAAAATCCTGCTTGATTTGCTCGTATATGCATTCCTATTGCTTGAAGTGAGGCCATTTGCATACTTAGGATAAGAGTTTGCCTTCCTATTAATTCTTGGTCACTTAGGACCTAATCCAAAACTTGTGACGTGAATGAGACTCTTTACTTCGACCACAATAGGACTGGATCAGGTCCATAAAGATTATATTCTTGGGGTTTGTAGTAAGCTATTGTCCGACTGTTCCATTTACATTGCTTTACATCCATTATTTTACATTGCCATGATGCCTGTGATAATAATCAGTTTGGGGAGATTATCTTGAGGTGGTAATATATTTTTAGGGACTTTCATTGGGGAACACTGCTGATTTGATTGGATTTACTTTAATTCACATGTGTGAAAGTCAGAATTAGACCCAGAGAGTATATTTATCAATACACAGTTGCAGTTCTTGCTTATCTTGTAATAGCTTGGGGCATCCTTTATTTTCTCAACAATGATTGAAGAAAAAGCATCAACTTTTCTTGTGCAAAAGTGTTACAATGTTCTTAATTTAAGTTGTCACATACAGGTGACACGCAATGCAGGTCCAGCCCCTAGTCTGATCTGTTTCATGTGTTCTTGCTCTCCTTTTCTGCCAGAGGAAATTCCATCTCTTGCCTGCCTTCATGTGGTGCTGATAAAGCTCTTCCTGTACAGTAGAATTCCTGTTTTCCTTTAAGCAACAGCAGGGTATTGGGAATGATCAGGAAAGGGGAGGAGGACCAGGAGGAGAATACACTCAGCAAAATAGCACTAAGCTGTAACTTTCGGTTTTCCTCACTTATCCTTTTTAAATAGCAGTTCTTCACTCCAGGAAAACCAATACTCAATAAATTAAACATTACCATGAGTTATATGACTAAAGTACAGTAGCAGAGGTCTTAGTTAGCCAAGTTTTGTCAAACTTCATATGTCTACCTTGTATATTCTCTTTTATTGTATTTTATGTGTATTAATGTAGAAAGGATTACATAAAATCACTATATATATTATTTCATATAATCACCTTGTGATTATTCTTGACAGTACTTGTAAAAGAACTGTTGAAGAGTGATACATCTAGAAAGTCTTTAGAAATGTGTCATACTGAAGAAAAAATTCCTTACTGGTATATAATATGTTTCAAAGAAAACTTATTTTTCCCACAGCTCTGCATTTGCTTGAAGTATTTCCAGCATTCAATTGGTGGCAGAGAGAGAGGGGTTTGAGGGTATGCTCCCCTCCCAACCATTTTTTCCTTTCCTTTTTGAAACAGTTCTTTTACTGTTTTTCTCTTTGCCTTTTTCCTGCAGGGGGAAAAAACGGGCAATGGGCTGGCAAACCGCTGCTGCCCCTTCCAATCTGACCACACAGTATTGTATTAAATTGCAACCAGTTAATTAAGAAACATTAAAACTTTTGTCACCAATGTTTTCCTCATAGTTTTAATGAAATTACACCCAGATAACTATTGGAAGAATAAAAATCTCTGTATGTCCCCTGCTTCTAACTTCTGAAGACATATTACATTGCACAGACAGTATCAGTATTTGGCATATTTCACAAATGCTAATGTGTATACTTTTCCCCCCCCCCTCTGTTTTCTTTCTGTTCCTCATTTGCTATTGGAATGGGAACTGTGGAAAAAATTCCTTGGCATTCTGACACCAGAACCCTTCATCTTGGCGAGACCACGATGATGCAACCTCAACGCACTCAGCAGGCACACCGGGGCCCTCCAGTGGGGGCCATGCTTCCCAGAGTGGAGACAACAGCAGTGAGCAAGGTAAAAGGTCAAACTTTTTCCCTGTGCAAAGTAGGCATGACTAAAATAACTTCAGCTTTTTTTATTATATCAGTACATCTGCCTTAGTGTAAACATGGAGTGGCAGGCTTGCAGTGTAATCAGCTGTAACTTAGGGAGACAGTATTTCCTTTTCTTAACCTACTTAGCTGCATTTTATTATTATTTCAAAGCAAAATATCTAATCTTCAAACAAGCTTTGTAATAACAATTGATTAGTTCTGCCAATTCCTTTACAAATTTGGTTATCTACAGTTTATTTTTGTGTGGTGTAAGTAAATATAATGACAGACACACTCTCCAGCTGTGATGCAGTAGTTTCTACTGGGCTGTAAACAGATAATTTAACTTGCAATATTAGCCATAAAAGGATTGCTATAGTGATCCATAAAGCTGTTTAAATCATATCAAGAAAAAGCAAAAGTTAACTGTGACTGACTGCGAAAGCCTCATGTAGTGTATAGTGTGTATGTGCGCGCGCGTGCACACACGCACACCCCCCCCCCATATGAGGTACAAGAACTGAATCTCCTGCACTTATATGGTGAGGGAGCTTTCCAAATCCAGAGCTCAGAATTTCCATCTGACTCTGACAGAGGTGTAACAACAAGGCTGGGCACCCGGAGCAGCTGCCATACACAGGGACCGCAGCAATTTGCAGTTGCTGCTGCACCACCAGCACAATCGCATGGCAGTGACAGCAGCTGTTTTTATCCTACCCTCCCTTAAGTCAGCACCTGGCACAGCTTCCCTAGCCACCCTGCCCTAGTCATGGCCCTGGGCTATGGATTTTGAAAGCCGCCTCACCACCCAAAGTGCAAGAGATCCAGTTTTTCTACCTCACATGGTCATTCATATCTGCACCAAGTTCCAGTCAAATGCCACCATTGTGGTAGAATAGCACTGTCTGTTAGCTTGCTACAGGTGTAAATGGCTGCATACAATGTAGGGTGAGGAAGAATACAGCATCAAACATTCCAAAATAAGGTTTTCATTCAATCCTTTGCAAAAGTAGGATTCACTACGGTTGGATTTTTATCTGGGTACTGACTTTTAACTCCCCAAAATTCAGGTTGGCATGTGATGGTTTCTCTCTAGTGTGCTGAACTGGACCCATCTCCTCTTTCAATATATTATTTGTAATTTTCTGGTAGTGGAAGAGGGTGTGACATAGGGTGCAATTCAGCTCCCTTGGAGTCATTTGGAGTGTTTCCATTGACATGAATTGGAGTTGGATCAGATTTGTAATGAACTATAACAGCCACAGCGATTATTAGCGAGGAGGGCCTCAGTTGTAGAACAGCAGGTCAGCATACCTCTAATAATTAATGGGCACACTTTACTGTTTATATGTACAGTATTTTTGGGGTGGTGAAATAAGGATGATTAGGGGAAGATCTACTCAGTTATATTTTTATAAGTGCCCATCCCTGAGACATCTGGGAGCATGACACAACTTAAACACATCGATGAATTAATCTGAACTGTCCCCCTCAGGCAGGACAAATAACCCCCATAGTTGTGTTCATCCCCATGTCCCCCAACAACCATAAATTATTTAGAGACAGTCCATCTTCAGTCAGCACTTGACCACAAGGACATGTCTTGTCATCTTGAAGTTCAGAAAATTTGAGCTCTGGTGGGTAGCCATTAGTGAGTTCCACAGCCATGGGAAGAGGGGTCCTGTGCCTGAAAATGTGACTCTGATCTCCAGGCATATCAATCTGGGGGCTGTCAGCAAACACTCCCAGACTGATCTCATTATTTGATATGATGCATGGGGGTGATGGGCCCAAAGATAGTCAGCTACAAGGTCTGTCACTCAAAGTTGTGGTCAGTAGTAATGCGCACAATATGCTCATAAATATATTACACTTATTTTGGCATCAGGTCAGCTCCTACATAAAGGCCAGTTTAATCACCTGAATGCTGCCTGGTGTACTTCAGCAAACCAGTGTAATGTGCTTCCTCATATACCCAATACACTTCCTTTTGAAGTGCCAATCTTCCAGTGGAGTGTCAGCATTCCATCTGACTTCTAGCAGCTGAAAGATGCACACTTCTGCAATGTAAAACTAGGCAAAGTTCCCACTGAATACTATGGCTTGGATTACACTCCCCTCCCTATACAAGAAAATACCAGTGAGAGGAATCTAATGGGGGAAAAAACAGCAAGCATCTCCTTGTTACATTTTTCTTGAATTGTCCTGCCAGAGGGGCAAGGTTCTTCATAACTTCAGGAACAGTAGAGGTTCTGTCTCCAAACCCAAAAGATTCTTGGGATCAGCAAGATGCCCTCTTGTTTTATCCTTGTGGGTTCCCAGTGGTTTGGCTCTACTAAAATTGTGCCGCCAAGGCTTCTAGCTATTGCTGAATCCAGTACTGTACTGTAATAGGGAGCCCTCCAGGTGAAGGAGCCCTTCAGTACTGTAGCAAGGAAGTTTGGCACCTGGGGCAAAGCCCTCAGTGGCAGCCCACATGCACACAGATCTGGGGGACACATGCCCCCCCATACTTGCCCAGGAGTGCACGCAGTGGCAGGTGCCACCCTTCCCTTGTCACCACAACCCCCCAAATGAGCTGCTCATGGTTCTGTCCTCTGCTTGGTTGGGCAGTGCCTGTTGGACCCAGGGCAGTCGCCCCACTCACCTGCCTCCCCCACCTGCCTCCCCCTTGCTACGGCACTGGAGAAGCTCATGAAAGAGTCCTTACAGTCTCAGATTGCATTAATGTTCCACTGGCTCTTTTACTAGTGCCTATGGTAGAGATGAGTGAATTGCACCATTCCTTCATCCTGCCTATTGACCTTCTTCCATTTTCATGGGTTCTCCTAGAACATCCTTCCTGCTAGCCCAGAGTTTCTAAGATACAGTTCTTGACTTCAGAGAAGCTCAGTAGCTCAGTGGGAGCTGGAGAAGAGGGGAGAATAGTGCCATGGTTGTTGTTGACCCTACACATAGGGCTTCCTTCATGATCTTATGATTAGAAAGAAACAGGACGCAGGAGAATTTTGCCTGTTCGGGGCATTCAGTATCAGAATTAGAATGCCACAGCACGTTGGCTGCATATTCAGCACTGAAAGGGTTAACAGTCAAAGTTTGAACTGAGTTGAAACATCCTAGCTCTGAAGGAGTTAAGAAAACGGCCTTCAGGCAATGAATGATGAAAGATTATCCTAATTTTATTAGCGGTGAGTATCTGTGTTGTTTTTAGCATGTCACCTTTCTTGTACAAGGAAAAACTAGGCTATACTCTATATTGATCATCTAAAAAAACATAAGTACTAGTGACCTGTAATCTACCAAGCATTTATTGACTTTAATGTGGTTCAGATCCACAGATACAGATCAATGTCACAAAATATTATGGTAGTGAATAGTAAATATGCAGTAGATCTGATCAGCTTGTTTCTTGTTGAAAGGGAGAAGTTAAATATATCCAATAATAAAAAAAACCCCACTCTAAACATTTTACAAAGAAGGGGAAAAAAGGAGAAGCTGATTTAATGGTCTAATGAGGCCATCTTCCAGAGACTTGTTTTGTGTAAGGCTTGCTTTGACCTTTCGCTTTGCTCAGGAGCCCAACGCTTCATTTTTCACATTCTTGCAATTACGTTAACGCTTCAAGCATTTCTGACTCCAAGTCAGCTAGCAACACCAGGCATAACTCAACACTGTGAGTTTTTCTCCTCTCTGTAGATTCATTAACAGGTCACTGGGGTCCCAACTGAAATTTAAAACTGACTGGTTCTGTTGGGTTAGTTGAGTTATGGCAAGGGAGATAGCAGGAAAGGGGCTGAGAGAAGGGGAGGAGAGACAGAAGACCCTGGGGTTTTTACCAGGGAATATATGTGTAAAACCCTAAACAGCACATTAAAAGGTGTGTGCAGTTTTATCATCCAGCCATTGCTTTGGAAAAACAATATCTGGAAGCCTTTTGGGGTACTACTTTTTCCTTGTTCTGTGCAAAACAAAGTAGAAGTGCCTCTGCATTGCTCATGCAATGTCCAAGTGATTGCTTTTAAAATGCCACCAACTTCTGGTATTCTGCATCAGTTTTACCATAGTGATGGATATGTAGTACACAGACTTTAATTCTTATTTAATCTCTTTATAGGATATTTCACATAATGAATATGGCAGATTTTGCCTGGAAAGTAGGAAATCAATCTTTTTTAAGGTTTAAAGACATGTGGTATACAAGAAACCACTGGGGAATTGTTTTAGTTTTCATCTTTGATGACACAAGACTATGTTCCTGGTTTACCATATTCTTAGTTTTATAAGGCCAAGAACCTAATCCTGAGACATGATGAGCAGCAGCAGCAGCTAAAGTCAGAGGGGATTTGTGACTGTTCAGTATCTCTCAGGATCAGGCCCAGGGTGAACATACATTAAGAAGCTAAAGGCAGAAGGCCCGGCTCTGGAATTTATAGAGTAAATTTAATAATTCAGTTTGAGCTGAATCATTAGCTTATCTGAATAGTTCCACTGGCTTTGAAGGGGCCCTAAGTAAGTTTGAGCAGAATGTGGCCCCTTGCAGAAAGAATTAAGAATGCCAGGCTCTCACAGAATATCTAACATAGTCTTTTAAACATTTTTTTGTGATAGTTTGATGTTTTGGCCCCACTGATTTGTCCACAGTAGCTTTCTGTGGGAAAGATTAATTATCTGCTTCAGGGCAAAGTCAACAGAGATATTGACTGAAATCACACATGCTTATCCTAGGTTACATCTTTGGGTTGATGCATATTGGAAAAGTTAGGCTGTGTGAGTTTCTTGTTCACTATGTAATGCAATATGGTATATGAATTTGCAGACGGAACTAGCTGGTAATTCAGAAAAGGCCTGTCTTGATTATTTAGACTATACCAACACAATAGGCATATATGAAATGAATTGGTTTTGAAGCAAATTAAAATAGGAGAGGGATGAGTTGTATTAAATAATGCAGTGTATTCACACAGAGTTGTTTTTAATTCG